TTTCAGCTGTATGTTGATATTAATAAAATGTAGAGGGAGAAGAGTTTCCATACATTACAGCATTATTACACAGTTCCAAACTTGTCCTTCTTCCGATGAAGAGGGCAAAAGTCTGTATGTATATTCTGGATGTTTTTCCTGGCTTCCATTTGCTATTTATTTAGCAAAAGAGGCTTTCTCTGACCTGGCACTTTCCTGGCTGTCGGACTAAAGCCTCCAGCATCCAAGCAGCATTGGCAACTCTAGTTGAGGGATGGCTGGAAGCAGTAATCCAGGACATCTGCAGTTTGCCAGACTAGGGAAAACTCCGCTAAAGGATTGCTAATTTAACAGTAACATTAATCACTTTCAATAATCCTGGACTTTATTACTTAAGGCTGTGTTGAAAAGCTCCTCCACACAAGAAAACAAATAATTTATATCAGAAAAGAAAGCTAAGCTAGTTTTTACGTGCAGTACATTGGGGTGGGGGTAGATTGTAAATTTTAAATTAAAATGCTTGTCTGAAATGGTACCACTTAGATAAGCTAAAACTGGGTGAGGGTTCAAATTTAACCAATAAAAATATCTGTAAAAAGCTTAAAGCTTCTAGAACAGGGGTAGGCAACCTTGGCTCTCTTATGACTCGTGGACTTCAACTCCCTGTTCTAGTTTAAGACAAACAACATTATGCATTCCAGATGCTTTGGACTACAATTCCCATGCTTTCTCATTCTGCACGAGGCTCATGAGAATCAAAATCCAAAATCAAACTGAGTACAGGTAGTCCTTGACTTACAACCACAATGGAGCCCATAATTTCTGTTGCTAAGTGAGACATCTGTCAAATGAGTTTTGCATGATTTTATGACCTTCCTCACCATAGTTGTTAAGTGAATCACTGCAGTTGATAAGTTAGTAAACTGGCTATTAAATGAATCTGGCTTCCCCACTGACTCTGCTTGTCAGAAAGTTGCAAAAAGTGATCACATGACCACCCTGGCACACTGCAACCATCATAAATATGAACCAGTTGCCTAACATCTGAATTTTGATCACATGACCATGGAGATGCTGCAAAGGTCATAAGTGAAAAACGGTCATAAGTCACTTTTTCCAGTGCCGTTGTAACTCTGGTCATTAAATGAACCATTGTAAGTCAAAGGTTGCCTGTACCCTCTTGTCTCTCTCTCTCTCTCCCTTTGAAAGAGAGAGAGGCAGCAGGGTTGCCAACACATCCTCTCTCTCTCTCCATACTGCATGTGATTAAATGAATTTAATTTATAGTTATCAGTAGTTAATAATAGCTAATAACTAAGAGTTAATAGTTACCAATAAACTTTTTCTCTGAAAAATGATGCAAAACTTCAAATCAAAAATACTTGTAAAGAAGCAAGCCAAAGTCAAGCAATGGAAAAGCTTGTAGAGCAACATCTTCAAATCTACTCCAGCTGGATCACTTCTTTTCTATCTTTATCCCATTCCAGGTTATCTAAAAGGTGGCCCAGTAGCTTCAAGTGGCATCTACTTGGAAATTTCCAGAGTGGGCTTCTAAGAAAAAAAACCTGTGTATGGCAGAGGTCCCCAACCCTTGGGCTGTGGCCCTCTACTGGGCAACGGCCCATTCAAAACCGGGCTACACAAGTGGTGGGGCACTGCAGACGTGCACACACAGCTTGACTTGCGTGAGAGCCCTGGTTCTTCTCCCCCCCCCCCGTCCCCGCCAAGCCGTAAAGGTTGGGGACTGCTGGTGTATGGTACCATTTGGTAATTTCCAAAATATGCCCCCAACAAAAAAAATTGGGATGGGGACTTAAGGGGCAAAATGGGTAGTTTTGCAGATTTTTAAAGCACCCATTTCACCTTTTAGAGCTTCTTACAAATTCCTCCCCAAATGGGTCCTGGCTCCACCCACTTTGAGGATACAGCCCCAGGCATGGCTTACAAAGCCTGGCATTGTTACTTCCTGGAGTTCCTATCCCAGTCTTGAAGACAGATGCTTTGCTTATTCATAAATGCATTACTTAGCATCTGATTGAGAACTCAGAACAGGAGGGAAATAACTCTCTGGATCACATTTGAGTTGTTGCACTTCCTGATTTGATTGGAGCGGGCAGCTATTAGTTTGGGGAATGCTGACATTTGAAAGTGCACAATGCAATACAGACATTCTTGGTAGGAGTAATAGATTAGGATGAGATTTTTTTTTTCTGTCCATCCTAGAAATAAAATTATGTTCTCAGGCTGGAGAATTCTTTATGTAGAATCAAAAATCATCAGAACAATACTGCAGCAACCTTCTAGAAAACTGCAGTTCTCTTCAGCTTCCAGTGGCTTCCTCTTTCAGATTCATAAGGAGAGAAAAAATGGCTGTTCTAACCTCTGAACCAGAGGGGTGTGTGTGTGTGGTGTGCATGCAGATTAGTATCTACCATCTGGTGTATCTCTAAATGTCTTCTAAGAGATAACAAGGAACCTACAAGTCCCAATTTTTATAGCAGCAGAAACTCTGAAGATGGAAACATGTTTTAAAGATCTCAACTGTGTTCAGGTTTGTGTTCAGATTCACCAAGAAATCCTAGAGCACCATTTGTCATTTTCAAGTCATGTACTGTATATGCCTGGAGTCATGGTGCTTTCTAGCATCCAATGATTTTGTCTTGCAAATATATAGACAACCAATAAATCCATACTGTAGAAGTTTAGATAATCATTTTAGCATCCTAAAATGATCTGAACTAAAGGTACAGACATAGCACAAGTGAGGATGAGGTCAAAGCCAAACTTCTAGTCATTCTAAATGGCATTTTTTTCCCAATACAGCAAATGAGTTTGAGAAGTTTAACTCACTTAAATCACTGAATTCTAGCTTCTGGTCTGATCAAAGTTAAAGGCCACAAACGTTTTCTAGATCAAGTTCAAACCACATAAACACCAGTATACTTATAAGAGACTATGCCATGTAGCATGACCTTAGAATTGTTTTTGTTCTGTGAGATAGAGATTAAGAAAACATTCTTCAAAAACACTTTAAAATCTGAATTGCTGGCAGTTTGGATGATTTATGAGCCAAAATATAGTCATAAAATCATCCCAAGTCCAAACACTGCCAAGTCTTTTGTGGGCAGGAATAAGCAAAAGATAATGAGCTTAAGGCCATTGATTTAACAGGGCTTCTGCTTCACTCAGTAGAAATTGTATTGGTAGTCTAAACATATTGAACTTAATCCACCTGGACAAGTTATCTGAAACACAAAGTTTACTTATTCTAATACAAGTCAGCCTCAAAATAGTTAAGACCCTTGAGCCTTATACTGGAAATTCATGTGGCTTTTTTCAGTTCTGATGCAATGTTTGCTAACTGTATTTTTCCACTGGGATTCATTCCAAAATCAAGGTTTTTTTTTTTAAAAAAAAAACAGTTAAAATTAGCCTGAAGTAACAAAGATTCCTTGCACTACTATTGCACCTAAAGGACATTAGATAATTGAATGTGAAAAATAAGTCAGAAGAGACCTACACATCTTCCATTCGAAGGACAGAGCAGAGTTAAGAGCCACTGAGGAGGGAAAACCCTAATGGGGTTAGAAAATGCTTAAACAAAACCTACTATGGCTTTTCAAAATCGAAATGCCACTTTATACAGAGCAACCTACAAATATTTATTCAGAAATATGTTGAAAGGACTTGAGTAGTATTCAATCAGATCAAAGCCCTATACTGTACAACTGGTTAATCTGCCTCTGCAGTGATCAGCCAGATCACTATTAGTTATCCACAAACTGGATCAGAATGGCAGTATTCACTCATGCCTGTAATTTATGCCTTTTATATGCCGTTCACTGCGATTTCAGGCTTATAAACACTGATATAACAACATCCAAAGTAACCAATCATTACATCCAAATCAAGAATTTGTTAAAAACAAACAAAAAGTTATCAAAGCCAGGGTAGAAAGAAATGCTTTAAGGCTATACACTAGCAATAGCAATAACACTTTGTAATGCTTTATAGCCCTCCCTAAGCAGTTTAGAGAGTTAGCTTATTGCCCTCAATTATCTGGGTCCTCATTTTACCAACCTCAGAAGGATAGAAGGCTGAGTCAACCTTGAGCTGGTCAGAATCGAACTCCTGGCAGTGAGTGGTGAGTTAGCCTGCAATACTGCATTCTAACCACTGCGCCACCACAGCTCTTAAAGTATGCTACTGAATTATAACATTATTACTCAATGTCAAATTTATTCCAAGTTCTAGGAGGCAATGTAAAAAATAGCACACTTAGATGTTCATATTAAACATATCAGTGGCAGGCCAGCAATGAAGTTGCTTTAGTTCAGGGAGTGATATGATGCCCTGAGTGTATCCTGGGCCAGGTGCAATCTCAGAGTCATCTTCAAGGGCCACCCTCTGGAGAGATTATAGTAATCCAACCTTCAGGCCATCAAAATATATATACCAATGCTCAATCTTTCTTCTCCAGGATTAACACGAAAATATTACCCAAAGGTGATAAAAAAAACCCTTCTTCCCAATGATCTAAAACACACCAGAGATCCAACAGGACATCTAATTCTTAATGGGAACTGCAATAACTCCACATACATCCAGATTAAACCCATCTCCCATATTCTGAATGAACCTAATAGTGGGTATTGAGAAAGATGTAGCCATAATGTTTAATACCACTTATATCTTAAAAGAAGAAAGTCTTATCCTTCATGAATTTATCCGCTGAATTCCTCAACAGATCTTTTTCTTCAAACTGTTTATACATTTACTTGCAAATAAATCACTCCAAGAGCCCTCCAAACCCAAAAATACACTAGATTCTGTGCTTTCTAACTGCTCTTGCCAAGGAAACATTACAAATAGCTTTGTAAATTTTAAAATATTAAGAACTAATTCATTAGCCTTCTAAAAATACTACTATCTAATCCCAGCTGAATCCATTAGCAATTTGCAGTTAGTTAGCTGCAATACTGTTTTTTTGTTGTTTTTGTTTTGTATGGCAGTAAATTTACCTGATAGGATAGTCCATCCTTGCGGGGGCTTAAACCAATCTCATCCATAGTTGGAGCACTCATCACCTCAGTCATGTCAGCTGATCTCAAATAATCAGGGCTGGAAACAAAGGCAGAGAGACAACTTCAGCAATTATTCTTTTATTCAGCCACAATTAATAGCAGACAAGCAAAGAAGACTTAGAACTCCATATTGATAAGGAATTTTAATACAGATTAAGATACTTAACCATTTCAATGCATATATCCAGTCTTAAGTCAGAGTCACCTTGATATTTTGGAAAGAAAGTACTTCAATCTATTCTGGAAGAGATTGAAAAACACTGTCCTGCAGATTCTATGAAGGCTTCAGAATTAAGAATTTTAAACCAAAGGCATGACTCTTGCTTTGCATTTTTATTGACTGAGCCACCTAAAGGTTTCAGATTGATTCATTCTATAGCCCTGGTTTTAGTTTCAGCCTTACAGTGTTTCCAATATAATTTATTTTGAAAGCAAAAGTAGATTTACTTCTGTATGTTAGCATGTAATTCCACCTCAATTTCCCAGCACAATAATTGTTAAAAGTTTCTTGCACCCACTTAAGTTTTAATAGAGATAAAAACAATGCAATAAGGAAATAGCATTGCAGGTTTCACTGGTTGTTCTACACTGAAAGGCATCTTTTAGAATACTTACTCCAGATAATATCACACAAGAATGTGAATATAAAGAATGTGCACCCATCAATCATCAGTGGCCAAACTATAATTGGTAGAAGGTTTTATTGTAACAGTCAAGACATGAGACTGGTCTTTATTCTTTGCCTATTCTTACAGTACCTGCTGCTTTTCTAAATTAATACTTTAAGTGCTACAAATACTGAATTGTCCAGCATTAGCTTTGTTTAGCTTAAAAATAATAAGCCAGATCATCCCAAGGAATCACTTCCACAAGTAACAATTGTATCATTACAGCATATTTTAATTCCATGATACATATCATACTTTTAAGTTATAACAAGAAATTTCTGCTGCTGGTAGGAGCTTACACTTTTATATTTTGATTGGACAGACTGAAAAAAGTAAGAAAATATTATTGGAGACATCCAGTTGTTTGAAAGATGTTTGAAAGAGTTGTTTGAAAGATGGGCGGCCATATAAATAATTTAAAGAAAGAAAACAACAATGCATGTTCCTGCTGCATTTTTACACACACACACACACACACACACACACACAAAGGGAAGCAACATTTAGAAGAGTTTTGCATATACCAAGTTACACAGACTGAAACAACAGTTGATTTCTTTCTTCCCCAATTTCTTTCCTTTCCACTCTTTGTCCCTTGGTCTTAATATCTTAGGGAACAAGACTTTCATCTTGTCCTTAGAATACATACACATCTTACTTCAGCCCCACCTACCTAATGGGCTGCCACAACTCTCTTCACAGCAAGTTCAGAGAAAACTATCACCATCACTTGAACTCTACAGAGTTGGTGAAGAGGCAACAAGTTGGTCAGCATTATTTATGAGAATGATTTAGAGCTATCAGTAACACTGGGGTAGCCTTAGTGTCTTGGTTTGCAAGAAAATGGGGAAATAACTGTGATAGGGATTTGAGGTCAGCCAGACAGCTAGACTTTAAGACAATCAGAATAGAAAACAAAACATGTTGCAGCTAAATGGAACATTGGTTTGAGTTTTTTAACAAGGTATATAAAGGTTAGTTAATTGGCCAGAGAACCATCCAAGCTGCAGTGTCTGGCAACAGAATCATAGGTAAAGCAACAAAGAAAATCCACCAAGATAAAATACATCAGTTGCCAGAGATCTCAGCATTTCATTTCACAGGTTTTATAGAGGAAAGATCACTTTCCTGACACTGTTTCTGCACTAGCTCTTTCAGAAGAGATGGAATGCACATTTTAATCGTGTCATACTTGCCACTTGTACTCAAGAGTACTGGATCCTGGTAAAACTGCTAAGAATTTACTGTCTGCCAAAAGGTATTTATTGTTCTAATGGCATTTGTCAAGAGAAGCGGTAATATACAGGCTACTGATGAGAAAGAGACATTGGGAATATATGCACACCAGGGCTTAATATCTGAGGGAGGGGGGAAAACTATTTTCCCCCTTGTGCTCTCTGCCAAAAGGCAAAAATACTTTAAGCATCCTTACTTACATCAAGCCAGCCTTTCTTGAAAACATTCCAGGAAGGCAGTTATACAACTTTGCCGCAGCTCACTCCTCTTCTAACAACAAAGAAATCGGGCTGCACTCAGTTCTAAAGTGTGAGCTTAACCCACTGAATGCACCTGCCATAAAATGCACATTTGGAGCCCCCGTTTTTGTGCAAGACCAAATTTTCAAACTGGGGGATAAATCCGATGGAACCAGGAGTTTTTGAACTTCTACCCAGAGCCCCTGGTTCTCTATTATGGCTTACATTCCGGATTATGGATTGGGGCTTCCGAGTTAATTGAAACATCCAGAAGGCAAATGACAAAATCTTAAATCCATTTTTTCTCCCCACTGACCCCCCCCCTCCAATCAAGCTTACTACTTCCCAACCAGAATAATACTTTGGTCTAGTCACCAGGCTAGAAAGCAGGAGATTTGTGAGTTCAAGTGCAGCCTTAGCCATGAAAGCCAGCTGGGTGACTTTGAGCCAGTCACTCTTCCTCAGTCCAGCCCACCCCACAGGGTTGTTGTGAAGAATATAGGAAGAGGAAGCTGTGTTGGATAGGTTTGCTGCCTCAAGTTATTTGTAAAAGTAATAAAGGCAGAATACAAATAAACAAAAAGCAGCAATTGTAGCAGCACGGAACTCCTGCCTTTTTGATCGTCTTGAAAGAAGCAGCTGTTTAGCAGCAAACTTCCTACAGCGATTGAGTTTTCTTCAGCTCGACATAGCGTCTTCCCCACCATCTGTGGAGTGAGGGGACAGGAGAGAGCCCCCGATAAGGAAACGAGGGGGGTGGGAGAGAGGAATCTTCATTGCTATCTGCGGAATTCTTCTAACAGGCCGGTTCTTTTGTCCGGATTCTAATAACCCTGATGCCTCCCCCACTTCCACTCCCCAAAGCTGATGAGACAGTGCTCCATAGATTTAAAAAAAAAAAAAAAAAACCCTAGGGAGCTGAACAGTTGCAATTAGGAATACCGAAAAAAACAAAACAGCTGCTGGGTCGTTTTTTTTGTTTTTTTTCTCACAGAAACCAAGCCAGTAGCTGTTTTGTTTTCTCCATGGAGCTCCAGCTGGAAGAAATTAACACTTGCTGACAAAATCCCCCGAGGATATCGCAAGCAGCCAGCCTCGATCCAGACACCCCCTCCCCTTTTCTCGAGCGGAGAGCAGCCGCCTCGCCCCGCAAACGAGTCCTCCACAGCCTCCTCTGGCAGGAAAGCCCAGATCCGCCTGAACTGGCTTCTCCTGGCGCGGTGAAGCGGAGGACAACCGAGGGATGAAAAGCAGCGCTTCGGAAGTAACCTCTCCTCTCCTCCCAGCAATAGGACGTGCCGCGACTGCTAAGCAGGTTCCCGGAACGCCATCCGCCGTTTCCGGGTAGACTTGGGCTCCCGAGAGTTCAGCTGGACCCGCTTGCGGGTGGACCCAGGACAGGGTCGGGATTGCAGGCGCCGTCCTGCCTGTTTTGCGCCGGAACGGAGGGGACGCGCCCACGGCTTGTGTTCGTGGCGCCCCTCCCCCCTCCTTTCTTTGTTTCTCCCTCCCGCCTTCACCCTGCCCACCCCTCCAACATTCCTTGAAGTTCTCCGTCCTGGTGGCTCGCAAAAGGTGGCGTAAAGCTCTCCCGATTTCACCTCTATCATCGACCCGCACCCCTCGCCAGCTACGCCGCAGAGCCCCCCTCCGGGTACTCACCAACGAATGGAGAAAAATACAGACATGTAGTCCTAACAAAGAGGTCGACCCAACGTCCTTTTGCAGCTCAGCACAGGAGTAGTGCAAGGAGGGGGACGAACTCGACCAACAAAAAAAAAAAAAAAAAAAGAGCGAGCGATTGAGCGGGCTAAGCTTCCCAGTAAGAAACTATCGCCAGAATAGCACTCGGAAGATAAACGCCCATTCGGGTTTTTGTTTGTTTGTTTTTTTTTTCCCCGAGTTGTTTAGCTTGCAGCTGCTGGGTTAGCGTGTTTTTCCCTACCCGACGCAGCTACAGGTTTCTTCCACTAAACTGACCAGCACAAAGAGTTTGAGAGCTATTTTTATAGACGAGGGGGGCGTGTCTGGGCTCACAAAGCCCGCCCTCTGCCTTCGATGATGTCACAAAACTCATGAATGGTTTTGTGCGTTTGGCCTGTAGCAGAGCCGCGCCGCGGAAGAAAGCAGCAGGCTTCGGGGCATTTCTATTGGACGCCTGGTCTGGCATCATCTTCGGCACGAGTCCGGCTTGCCGCTGGTGTGCGTTGTTACCTAACGCTGATCTCAGTCGATCCAAGTTTGGCCATAAACCCTCCTCCGATTTCTCCCTCTCTCCCTCCCCCATTCTTTTTTGAATGCGTGGCTATGGGCTTCAGGGAAAACTATTTAAAGCATCTCTCTCTCCTGTGAGAAATAATTCTTTTGGGAAGGGTAAGAGGAGCCCTTGGCAACACAAGAGTCTTGCAGAAGCAGAATACGATCGTTGAGAAAATCGCCGGAAGATGCAGACAGGGACGGCGTTTCATTCATAATAATGGATTTTACAAGCGCTCGCCGTAACCTGCTTTCGTACACTCGGAAAGGCGGACCTTTCGCCTCCGTCAGAAAAACCCGCTTATTCCTCCCACCAGCTACGTTTAGCTTCCGTTAAAAAAAAAAAAATACGCAGATACATGCGCGGGTGCGCACAGTGCTCCAGAAGCAAAGATAGAAGGAGTCGTTAATGCGTTGCCTTGAATATATATTCCTAAACCGGGAGAGGAAAATGTCTAAATAATCCTTGGGAAAGTGGGCGGAGTTTTGCAGGGCTTTGCAGGGCCATCAATTGCTAAGTCGGGTGATTTTGTTTTTTGGCTTTCGTCTCTCCAAAATAGGAATTATTTTTAGCGTTTGGAAGAAAGGAAAAGGGTGTGTTTTGAATGTGTGCTTTGGTGCTGCCGAATTGTTTTCCCACGAGAGAGACAAAAGGGACAGAAGAGTTGCTTCCTCCCCCCCCCCTCCAGGTAGTGTGGTCAGCTCTGCATTGATAACACCAATAGGCTGCAGTTCTCGAGAGGTCTTTTCTCCCCTCCAGACATTGAATTTGTGGGACCTTCTGCATATAAGTCTGCTAGTTTCATCTGCTTTTTTTTTTTATCCATTCACACATGCTTTGTACCAGTGGATGTATGGGTGTACATACTTTTAATTTCACCAGATGAGGGAGTTCACAGATCGAGTGCCCCCCTCTTCTGCTGCATGCACTTCAATTCCTAGAATTCTCAGTAATGGGGTTGGGGAATTTGGAGAGCTGAAGTGCACACATCTGGAAAGGGCATTGAGGGAAGTTAGCCCAGAGAAGGAAATATTAATAAGCAGAAAAATATATTTTTCCTCAAAAGGACTTTTTAAAACCAAATCTGGCCCCAAATCTGTCTCTCTGCCCCAAGCAAGAGCTAGCCCATACAAATGCAGATGTAAAAGTTGAAGCCAGAGCACTCAAGAAGACAAAAAGAAAATCTGCATGCCACACCCTACTGCCCATGTGCTCAACTCCTCTTTCCTCTCTTCTGCTCTTTCTTGCAAGGACCATCTTTCTGCTTCTTCAATAAACTGTAACCTTCTTCCCAAAGCAGTCGCCATATTTATTTATCCCCGGCTTGGATGAACCAGGATGAAGACTTACTTCCGACAGCACCTGTGTTGGGGAAGTGCACTGGATGTTTTTTAAACAATAATGTTAATGTGTGGTTGAAGTATAAAGATGGGGCTGCACAAAAACTTAACTTGCAGGTTTTACAGCTGTTCATTAACCAGGCAAAAGCTTCTTCAGAATCTGCATTTATATGACTAAAGCTGAAGTGCCTCAAGAGATAGCAATTTCTCCTTGACCTAACACTGGTTCAGATCTTGCTACAACCTGCATCCCGGGTGGGAGACATCCCAGTGAGGTGTAGTAGAATGGGCAGTGAAATGTCCTGGAAATGACAAAGCACTTCTGTACGGCCGCCAAGAATATGTCCATGAAGACACCAGGAGTCAGACTTGAAGAAATCTTTTAACTTTAAGGCCAGAGTGTACAATGCTTTATTATAATGTGCCAGATATGGAATAACCGCATAGCATTTTTTATGGGTCTCCACATCAGCCTTCCTTTAGCAAAAACAATCTCAGATCCATTTAGTTTTTAGAATTTGCAACCAGAGTAGCTATTACAGAAGAACTGCACAATTCCCTCCAGTCTGAGGGGCACAGACATGATTGGCATGTTGCAATTGCCATGCAAAACAATGATGGGGTGGGCAAAGAAAGATAATAAGCTTGGATTGATGCAGTCTGATACTAAATATTAAATGTAATGTAATTATCTCTACTCATGCATCTGATGAAAGTTAGCCCAGAGAAGAAATATTAAAAAGGGCAGAAAAATATATTTTTCCTCAAAAGGACTTTTTAAAACCAAATCTGGCCCCAAATCTATCTCTCTGCCCCAAGCAAGACTTTAGCCCTAAACAAATGCAGATGTAAAACCATCAGAAAGTTGAAGCCAGAGCAATCAAGAAGACAAAAGAGAAGATCTGCATACCCCACCCAACTCTAGGAGTCAGCCCCATCACCTGGGAAGCAGGATATGATAATAGAATTAAACCACAGATATCAAGGCCTAGACAAACACTCAGAAACAGCCTCAAGGTTCATGCCACAGGAACAGGAACTTCCAAACAAAAGGCTAGGGAGGTATAAAACCTACTGCCCATGTGCTCAATCTCGCTCCCCTTCTCTCTCCTCTGCACTTTCCTGAAGAACCATCTTTCTGCAATAAACTGTAACCTTCTTCCCAAAGCAGTCGCCATGTTTGCTTATTTATTCCCAGCTTGGATGAACCAGGATGAAGACTTTACTTCTAACAATTTGGCACCCCAGATGGGACTACAAGCTAACCTCTCCAATGGACTGAGACTGGTAAGCCCCATCTTGCCGGCAGCAGACCCCCTTGTGTCTGTGGATGGGTTTCCCAGGCCTTGCCCATGTGGAGCTAGGGTAGTAAAGGGAGTTTTGAGAGTTTGAGCTCAAGGGCTGCTTTGGAAAGAAAGTGAAGGTGAGTACCTCTAAAGTTTAAGTTTAAAGCCCAGGGGAACAACGAAAATGTGTGTATTTCTGTTTGTGTGAGTGAGAAGACTTTTTTTCCCAATCACAATTGGATTTTGCTCCTTCTGGTCTTTCCTAGCCGCAGAAAGGATCTGTTTAATTGGCAGAACCTGGACAGCATGGGGGTTGGCCAGAGCATAGAACCTTTTGTTAGGGAAAAGGGAGAGACTGTGAAAATGAAATGGAATGAGTGAATGAAAGAATTGGATTTGGGCAACTAGCTGGTAAGGCCCTGTAAGCAAAGCAAAGTTTGGAAAGAAGTCTCACCAGGAGACTTCGACTGTTAGGAAAGAAGTCTCACCAGGAGACTTCGACTGTTAGGAAAGAAGTCTCATAAGAAGACTTCGACTGTATTAGGAAAGAAGTCTCACAAGGAGACTTCGACTGTGTACTGTATGAAAGAAAAATAGACTTTGCTCAGGGCTTTGCTGGGAAACTAATTTGGCTAAATAAAAGTACTTAAAAGGGAAAATAAGAAATAGTGATTCTCTCTCTCTCTCTCTTCTCTATGCAACCACATGGTATGTTTAAAATGTGTGCCTTCCCTAACTTATCTGAAATTTATGGTGGGAATGACTAGGATGTGTAAAACTAAGACTTCTGTTCTCTTGTCTTTGTGTATATATGTTTGTCAAAGTCTGTGCATGAGAGGTAAATGTGACTGTTAACTGTTTCAAATCCAAAGGAAAAAGAATTTTAAAGTCTGTTAGAAATTCTGCTTAAAATAAGCCACAAAAAGGAAAAACCTCACTCTGTTTGTCTGGCCAACAAACAGAGTGAAGAAAAAAAATTGTGTTTGTTTGTTTGTTTGTTTTCCTCTTTCTCTCTGTGTACACTCAAGAACAGCCTTAAGTTACCAGGAGGGATTGTTTTAAGTTTATCTGTTGGAAAAGTTTCACTTGCATTTACTGTATGTGTTTTATCTATGTGTGTGTGTATTAAAATGTGTGTCTATCTACAAGAGCCTTTTGAAACTCAAGTCTGCTTGTGTGGGGAAATAATTTTTTAAAGTTACTTTTCTTATCCTATCACTTACTGGTGAAACTACTATGAAGCTTTCTGAAACATAAGCATTTCTCAATCTCTAAAATGATGTGGTCTATTTTAGAATAAATGTTCTCCTACCTCTGGAAAGTTGCACACCTTAAAATATTAGGCTTTTAAAATTATTTGGAGTT